CCCCAAAACCCCAAAACCCCAAAACCCCAAAACCCCAAAACCCCTAATTTTATTATATAAATTGAAAATGTACATTTTCAAAGGTACAGGATTACCTGTTAATATATAGCTACTATTGAACAAACAATGAACTCTCCTATTAATCCTTTAGTCAAGAAAGGGGCGTCAGCTTCTTTCTTGGCTCCCTCCTTTAAGATTAGAAGGAAGAACATTTCTGCAGTTTCCACTCCTCAAAACCACTACACTTTAAGAAGGTAAGTAATGCTCAAGATTTCATTAAAATTCTAATATCAACTACTTGTTAGCCCTGACTGTGGTACTCCTTATAGGAAATCAGCACATAAAGCCCTTGATCACGACATGAACAAGGACATAGCTCCTTTTATGGGAAGGAGGAAAACTATCAGGACCCAGAATATTCATAAAAGAAAGTAAGACTATATTTTATTCTTAGGGAATTGACCTACACTAATCCCAAGAATTCTCAAAGACATCGAAAAGACAAACCTCTTGAAATCGAAATCGAAGGGGATAGATTAGGTTTCTAGCAGGTTCTTATTGTTTAGAACTCAACTCTAAGTTATCAGACAGAGCTTCCTGTCCAAACCAAAGACCAAGTATTCTGCCAGTCTTTATACATAGAAACTGCTATTGGAAATCTTGATAAAGGTAAACCTTCATACAAGATTTTGAATATCAAAACATTGCCAAAGAAGTACTGAAAATAAGAAGAAGATGGCAAAGACACAATTTGCTAGAAGTCCAAAGGCAACTTTAGTCCCATTTGAATCAAAGTTCTTCGGAAAATAAGCATAAATAATGTCGAATTGGTCTCAACAACTGTCACACAGAAGAAACCAAAGAAGAGAGCTTCAATAGTATTTGAAGAGGAAAAGAAACTTCAATGTGTTGATCAGTATTATTCGGTGGTGTAAGCTCTCAGCCTAATGTTTTAGCAAAACAGGAAATACACGATATAAAAGTAAGCCTCGAATTGGGAATCTAAGAGATCTCTGCTGCTAAAAATTATCTGGAAGGGATTCATGTTTATTATAGAGAAAAGCTCAAGCCAAGTGTTCCAACCTAATTATCTCAGGAAATCTTGATCTACTATGAACCTTGGAAAAGACAAAGTTAAAGAAAAATTGTGTGACAGAGACTCTCTCAAAATTTTAATGAGGAGCGAAACCAGTATTAATTCTGGAAACCCAAAGCATAAAAATTGTGATATACAATTACAGAAAGCAATAAAGCCTTGATCTAATCAAAGAAGAAGCCGTCAGGAGACTCATTCATCTCCAAAGAAGTTCATACTTAATCCAAATCTAGGGCTGAGGGAGATCATCCTCGATCCTACGAGAAGTTCGAAGGTTGAACCGAGACTTCAAAATTCTCAGTATTTCTTCTATAAACCATTTAGGAAAGATAAATTGCTAAGCAGGATAGATATACTTAAGTATTGTAAAAGGCTCCAACTCAAATTACTAAATCGAGCTTCAGAAAAGGAGAGGAAGGTGATTTCTTCTCGAAGGAACAAGAATGCTAAAGTATTATAAATCTCTCAGAACAATCAGGTCAAATGTTATAAAGTCTTTAGAGCTCGATTTGCCCTCTAAAATTTCCCAAATTCACTAATATTAATATTTTCAGTTTCAGCCCTTCCAAAAGGGGTTTTGGGGTTTTGGGGTTTTGGGGTTTTGGGGTTTTGGGG